CCTTCCTCTTCCTTCTCAAATACCACCTACACCATCTCCATCTCTGTCTCCGTCTCCGTCTCCGCCTCCCACACAGGTGCCAATACCACACCACCTCATGGTGTTGCTTCACATCCATCGCTTTTGTGCCGGAACCTTTCTACTCTTCACTCAACAACTCACTGCTCTGCTACTAACATGAATGACGACACAACCTCCTCCGCCTTCTCCTTCTAACTACCCCGTACTCCTCCATCCAGCCTCGCATCTCAAACGCAGCCAAAGGTCCGATTCACTTCACTGAAAACACATCACTTCTCTCCCCTCATCGCTCCCTCCACGACTTGGTGACTGCTGTATCACCGTGGCCAACAGTTAGTAGGAGATGCCCTTTGACCGATGCATTCACTAAGGGATGGGGAGTGGAGGTCTGGTTGGGTGGTAGAGGTTGGAATGATTGGTGGTTTGTTGACAGTAATTATTGGAGCCTGAAGCCTAGCAAGAACGGATAATTGAGGCGCAAGTGCTCGTAAAATTTGCTCGCAAAACGACGCAAATAATGGCCACATCATGTGTGTCGCTTCGCCGTTGTGTGGTGCGTGTGAATATCTATTTCCTAATGAATTTCACACGATAAAGTCCACTGATGATTTGTAATGCGTAACTGCGCGATAGAAAGTTTCGTGTGCGCTTGACTGCTTATTCCGCCTGCTGGTGTCAAATTGGAGCGACATCGGTAACTGCCACGATTTGGAAATTTTTGAGGTTGGTAGACATAGAAGAGCACAGAGCACGATGTGGTAACCTTTTCATGCCTTCTTTCCCTTCCGCTATGGTGCATCTGAATTTCATGTGGTCGCTTATAGTGATTTAAGTAGCACCGTCACTTGGATAAGAAATTGCGTTTTGGGGAACTCTACCACCACTCACTAGGTGCTCCATTCGTTCAGAGCATTGCCATCTGCGCAGCTAAAATGCATTTGTTATCCTTTCTGACACTTTTCTTATCCACTTTTTTTAAGTTTGTCATCCACGGTTCATGATCGACAAAATTGGTTACGGAGCTCGTGAGTCGCTAGTATAAGCGATTGGTGTGACAAGAAAATCATGACTCAAAGTGAAGGCAAAAACCGGGCAAAGCAGAAGAGTTGATGCTCCAAAGCGTTCGAGTAAATGCGATTCGTGCCAATTTGCCTAAATTTTTGTCACCTTTTAGTTCGAAGTCAGAATCTCTACCTGCCTGGTGCTGTGACAGCAGCGTTCGCTGCCTACCTCACCTGGTCCGCCGTCATGAGTCAGCCGAAAAGTGAGTTCTTGGGTACTTTCTGATTGGATCACCGGTCCCACTTAATTGTTCAGGAAGGAATAGTCCTTTTTGCATTGCTATATAACATCCACTTCCTTTCCTCAAATCTCGAGCCTAGTGTGAGCTCGACTATCTCGTCACGAACCTCACCCTTGGTGTGAAGGATGAAATACTACCAGAGAGCGGAGGCGCAATGCCCGATGATCGAAGAGTCATGTTTAGTTAAAGTAAGTTTCATACCAGCAAACCATTGTGAACGTTTAGTGTTTTGGCTACCTGGAGCCCCTGGCTCTAGAATCCGCCACTGCAAAGGCTGGATTGTTAGCATTTGCAACCCGATAGTATTTAGGACTGCAGAGCCCGAGTAGCACATGTCAAATGAGTGGGAATGCTTTCAAATTTGTTTAAAAGTTTTTTTGAAAGGGAGATCAGCTACGCTAATGGCACTGTTTGTTGTTTTATAAACACTGCGATGTTATGCTCCTTTGTTTGCCTTCTCTTGGAAATAGCATTTGCATTTGCGTCAATGGCGGCGTAGAATATGCTGGCGGACATATTGGCGCCTCCTTTTCTCCGCCTATTGCATTTGAAGGGCTTAATTTACCTCTTTTGCATATTCACATATGGGATTGACTGTACTTTGAAGAGAGAGGTAAACAAAGTCACACTTGTTGCCTTTTCAACAATTATGGATGGCGATGAATAAGGTCTTGAAGTTGGTTGGCATTTATTGGAGACCAATGGGAAAGTTATTTGGGCAAGGTGTAGCGTTGTGTCTTGGGCCTCTATCTCAACTGCAAGGCCTACTGGACTTCTCAAAGCCAGTTGCGGCAAGTTGACTGCATGAGCATGCATTTGCCTATCATTCTTTCGTGAATCAGGTAGTGGCTCGGATCCGTTGATTTAACGGATAAGTAACACCTACAATGCAGGTCATCTCCTCGGTGCAACTAGGTGCAACGCGGCAACGCAGATAAGGGCAAATGGAGGGCCTTCTTGTTCTGCCTACAGGCATGAGAGGTCCTAAAGGGCGAGTTTCTACCTCTACCTTCTAGCTACTTTGTTTAATGTCACTTCAGCGTCTCCTTTGCATCGATTCCATTCAACCTCGTTCCTTTGTCACCGATCAACTCCCTCTTTCTTTTATAGGTGTCATTCGAGGCCTCTCGGTGGAGAAACAGGCTATCCAATTCTTCAATCTGCGTCTACACAGCAATCGTAGCGCGTCGCATAGGCTGGCACTGAATCAGACGGGTTTGTTGATGGACAATATCTGTCTGCCCGCCATCCTGCATCGGCCCTCGGCACTAGATCACATCTCCGACCTCTTCGCCGCTTTGGGCATCATTTTTGTCGTTGGTGGATCCATCTACTCGAGGTTTGAAGCCTTTTCGTGAGAAGATTTGGTGATTCGGCTTGAGATAACGCTAACTTCCCACAAACTTATCGTCACTCGTGTCGGGCGTAAATTTGGTTATGGACGCAAGTGTGTCAACTGCCTGACACTGGCACTGACTGTGCAGCTATCGTCTCGAAAGTATCCCATTGGGCTGGACTTTAGTGGGATGCCTGCAACCCTTGTATAGTGTGTCGGTGGTCGACTTCCTAGCACTTAAGCCTTCTAGAGTGTGTTGGGATTGAACACTAACTCTTCCCCAAAAGCATCACATCAGAGGCAATTAAGGCGTCCGTCTTGAAGTCCTTGGCTGTCACTGGCCTCAATCGAATCCACATAATCCTGTCTTTTGGATCCTGAAAGGCTCTTCTCTTCAATTGGCATTAAGAAGAGTCCTAACTGATCCATATTGTAGGCACCTCTAAGGTGTGAAAATCAGGATTTTAGGTATTAAGATGCCGCCATATTGCTTACAATTTTTGCCAAAGGAAGGCGCCTTCATGACTAAAGAATGTGCATTTTGATGTGTTAATTGCCTTTTGCTGTCATGCCAACAACTAGTTGGAGGGTAAAAACAACAACACTCAAGTATATGTTTGTCGCTCTGTCAGTTTTTCATCTCCTCAACACTGGACACTTGAAGGCCTTCTTTGTAACATCACGGTGCCGCAACAACCACATCCCTCAATTGTCCATTGTGATTTGTCTCTGCAGAGATATGATGGTCTGGAAGGGTAGGGAAAGTCAGGGCTCATTTAGTTGGACTTTGTGAAGCATTATACAAGGTAGGTGAGGCTGGAAGAGTGTTTCTCCTCCCTTTACTCTCTTCTTCTCCGTATTCGTCCCCTATCTTTTTTCGGGTACTCTTTGCAACTAGCGGTTAGAAAATGGGATTGTCTTTTCAACCAGTCAACAAATTCTTTCGCTTTTCTCTTTTCGCTTTTCTCTTTTCGCTTTCTCTTTTCTCTTTTCTCTTCGTTAAAGAAGAAGCTTATCTCTTTCTTGGTTTGATCTAAGGGTAGATTTCTGCCTTTCCTATGAAGTCATCATATAACTAACGCAATGAAATACGTGCCATTCCTCTCTGTACCAAAAAAGGCTCCCCCTCAAGGTCGAAATGTTATTGGTTAGTGACTTTTGTACCCAAAAAGGGATTTTCTGCCACTTTTTCTTCATTCCTAGTGCCGTGACTCATTTATTCTCCTTTTTGCCAAAATCTTTGCTGACTATGCTTACATTTGTGTCACCAAATGATCTTCATGACGGACAACCTTCAGAGAAGTGACTAGTTTATACAAAGTGGTCGAAGCCTGGTAGAAATGATTTCTTGTTTGCAGTGGATTGGCAACCATAATTTTACTGTCGGTTATTGCTGCAATGGGCACACGAAAGCTAGTGAAAGAGATTTTTTCAAGGCATCGTGTCATTTGTCTTCCACTGGCGGTGGTTGTTGTGTTCTCGACAGTTCTTTAGCATACTCCCAAGTCAACAAGGGCTAGACAAGTGTACATGGGCTTATCAGCGAACCCTCACTTGCGTAGTTCAAACTCTCCTTCAACTAGTCGATTTGTTCGTGTAAAATTAAGACATGATTGTGCGTCGTTTTGCGAGCAAATTTTACGAGCACTTGCGCCTCAATTATCCGTTCTTGCTAGGCTTCAGGCTCCAATAATTACTGTCAGCAAACCACCAATCATTCCAACCTCCACCACCCAACCAGACCTCCACTTCCCATCCCTTAGTGAATGCATCGGTCAAAGGGCATCTCCTACTAACTGTTGGCCACGGTGATACAGCAGTCACCAAGTCGTGGAGGGAGCGATGAGGGGAGAGAAGTGATGTGTTTTCAGTGAAGTGAATCGGACCTTTGGCTGCGTTTGAGATGCGAGGCTGGATGGAGGAGTACGGGGTAGTTAGAAGGAGAAGGCGGAGGAGGTTGTGTCGTCATTCATGTTAGTAGCAGAGCAGTGAGTTGTTGAGTGAAGAGTAGAAAGGTTCCGGCACAAAAGCGATGGATGTGAAGCAACACCGTGAGGTTGGGTGGTATTGGCACCTGTGTGGGAGACAGAGACGGAGACGGAGACAGAGATGGAGATGGTGTAGGTGGTATTTGAGAAGGAAGAGGAAGG